CGACGCCATATGAGATATGGACGGGGAAGCGTCCCGCGTTGTTGTTTGTCAGAATTTGGAGTTGCGACGCTTACGTGAAGCGTCAGATGACTGATAAGTTATTCCCCAAGTCTGATAAGTATTTATTTGTAGGCTACCCTAAGGAAGCTAAGGGTTGCTACTTCTACATTCCGGCAGAGAACAAGGTGTTCATTGCTAGGAATGCGACTTTTATGGAGCGAGAGTTCGTCTCCAAAAGAGTCAGTGGGAGTCGGATCGAACTTGAGGAAGTTCGAGAGCAACAAGTAGACGGTGAGTCGAGTGAACAAGTTGAAGACGTTCAACCTGATTCACTGTCGGTTGTGACTCAACCTTCGACGAGTGAACCTCGGAGATCAGACAGGATTCGCCAAGAGCCTGTGAGATACAGATTTCTCGTGACTGGAAATGAGGAGCTCATGTTATTGGAACATTGATACACGCCTCGGCCTTGGAAGTGTTTGTCTCGGATCAGGGATGGGGTCGCAAGCCAATCACCCGCTTCAAAGAGCACTTGAACTCAGCTTGGGACGAAAAATGGAAGTGAAGGTGGAGTCAGGGCTAACTCGCAGATCCCGAAGGGGCACTCAAGTCTAGCCACGACAGAAAATGGAAGCGAAGGGGAAATGGGGTCGAAACTCAATCACCGGCACTCTAGTTAGGCTCTCGAACTCAAGTCCGACAGGTTATGGAATGAGATGGATAGGTAGAAGTCTCGGACACACCAAGACGAGCTCTCGGACACACCAAGAGAGGATAGATTCGGACACACCGAAGAAAGTTTGAGAAACTCAAACAAAATACTTAATTAGATTCAGCCAAGGTTGTTCTTGCAAGGTAATACAAGCCTTTATATAGGCTGGAGACTTATCCAAACATTAAATGACGAAATACATGCAGCAAGGGTGAGAGCCTAAGCATTTAATGAAGTGGTTGGGGAGAAACTAGCTGTTGGGAGATGCCTTGACTCTCAAGAAGCTTCCTTTTGCTATTTGTCTCCCCGGTCTTAGTTCTTCCGAACTTTGAAAAGACCTTTGAGATCGAGTGTGATGCATCCGGCATTGGCATAGAAGCTGTCCTAATGCAAGAGAAAAGGCCCGTCGCATACTTTAGTGAGAAACTTAGTGGGGCTACTCTTAATTATCCAACATATGACAAGGAGTTGTATGCTTTGGTGAGAGCATTGGAGACTTGGCAACATTACTTGTTAGCCAAGGAGTTCGTGGTACATTCGGATCATGAGACCCTAAAACACCTTAAGGGTCAAACCACGCTTAAGAGAAGGCATGCTAAGTGGCTAGAGTTTATCGAGACATTCCCTTATATCATCAAGTACAAAAAGGGAAAAGATAACATTGTCGCCGATGCTTTGTCTCGTCGCCACGCCTTGATTACGGTCATGGAAGCTCGGATGTTAGGATTCGAATACACTAAGGAGCGCTACATGACTGATCCAGATTTTGGATCCATTTTTGAGGAGTGTAAGCAAAGAGCCTTCGGGCCATTTTACATACAAGATGGCTATCTCTTTCGTGAGAAGCGCCTGTGTATTCCTCAAGGGACACTGAGAGATGTTATACTTCATGAGGCACATGGGGGAGCACTTGCCGTACATTTTGGTATGGATAAGACATTGGCTATAGTCCAAGAGCATTTCTATTGGCCTCACCTCAAGAAGGACGTTAGGAAATTCTATGCTAGATGTGTTGAGTGCCACCGAGCGAAGTCCAAAGTGCATCCTCACGGGCTATACATGCCACTATCGATCCCAACTCATCCTTGGGTTGACATTTCGATGGATTTTGTTTTAGGATTGCCAAAGATACATCATAAGGATTCCATCTTTGTCATTGTCGATCGGTTCTCTAAGATGGCTCATTTTGTGCCATGTGCAAAAGTGGATGATGCCAAGAATATCGCCAACTTATTCTTCAAAGAAGTTGTGCGTTTGCATGGAATTCCAAAAACGATAGTGTCGGATAGAGATTCAAAATTTCTCAGCTACTTTTGGCGGACACTTTGGAAGAAGATTGGCACCAAACTCGTCTATTCTACCACTTGTCATCCACAAACGGATGGACAAACCGAAGTAGTCAATCGCACGTTGTCAACACTTTTGAGGGCTACTATCGGAAAGAATTTGGGCAATTGGGTGGAATGCTTACCCCACATCGAGTTTGCATATAATAGAGCCATTCATTCCGCTACTAAGCACTCTCCTTTTGAGATCGTTTATGGCTTTAATCCGATCACACCCTTAGATCTCGTGGCAATTCCAAACAAAGAGGTTGTCAACTTAGATGGAGAAGCAAAAGCCGAACTTGTCAAGAAACTCCATCGGAGAGTTCGAGACAACATTGCCCATAGAACCGAACAATATACTCGCAATGCCAACAAAGGACGAAAAGAGGTAACATTCAAGGAAGGTGATTGGGTATGGCTACACTTTAGGGCTGAGCGTTTCCCGGACAAGCGGAAGTCTAAACTCGCACCTAGAGGCGATGGACCATTTCGAGTGCTTGAGCGAATTAACAACAACACGTATCGTCTTGAATTATGGTGATTGGGTATGGCTACACTTTAGGGCTGAGCGTTTCCCGGACAAGCGGAAGTCTAAACTCGCACCTAGAGGCGATGGACCATTTCGAGTGCTTGAGCGAATTAACAACAACACGTATCGTCTTGAATTATCCAATGATTACAATGTGTCTAGTACTTTTAATGTGGCTGATCTACTTCCTTTTGATGCAGGTGATGACATTTCGAGGGCGAAATCTTTTCAAGAGGGAGGGAATGATGCGGACATCATAGCTATTGGTGATGCATTGGACAAGAGCATGGATGGGAGCATGGACGAAAGTAATGGAGCACATCAAGATAAGGAAGCCCAACAAGAAGGAGCACAGTCAGACTTGGAGGAATCAGAACAAGAAGCTGATAATAGTCTCGCCACATCACTTGGCGATGAATCGAAGATAAAAGCCAGCCGAGTGCCACTTCAAGAAAACCGAGTGCCACCTCGCTCTGAACCACCACTCACTCGAGCCAAAGCACGAGTTCTTTGACAACGCTTCAACACATTCGTTCAACGCGTGTTATACGAGCCCAAGATTGAAGCCACGATTCTTCCCTGCTTTGGAACGAGCTAGACGAGCAACATATTCACATGGCACACTTAGCTTTCTTCTCTCGTGAGGCTGTCCTTAAGAGCAAGAAATGCTTTCTCTTGAGCCTCTCCCCACTCGAAAGGCACGTCTTTCTTGATGACCGCAGTGAGTGGAGCGGCAATGCTACTAAAATCCTTCACGAATCGGCGATAGAAGCTTGCCAATCCATGGAAACTCCTCACGTGTCCAATGGTGGTAGGGGTCGGCCATTCTTTTATAGCCTTTATCTTTTCCTCATCAACTCGCAACCCCTTAGAGCTTACCACGAAACCTAAGAAGACTATCTCATCGGTGCAAAACGAACATTTCTTTAGGTTCGCATAAAGGCTCTCCTTCCGAAGGGTGCACAATACTTGCTCTAGGTGGGTAGCATGTTCTTCTTCACTTCGGCTAAAGACAAGTATGTCGTCAAAGTATACCACCACAAATGTTCCGATGAAGGCTCGCAATATATGGTTCATGAGCCTCATGAAAGTGCTTGGGGCATTAGTTAGCCCAAATGGCATCACAAGCCACTCATACAAGCCTTGCTTAGTCTTGAAGGCAGTTTTCCACTCATCGCCTTCCCTCATCCTTACTTGATGATAGCCACTCTTAAGGTCGATCTTGGAAAAGATCGTGGCTCCACTAAGCTCATCAAGCATGTCATCCAACCGAGGTATGGGATGCCTATATTTGACCGTGATGTTATTAATGGCTCGGCAATCCACACACATACGCCAAGTCCCGTCTTTCTTTGGCACTAATAGCACCGGGACTGCGCAAGGACTAAGGCTCTCTCGAATGTAACCCTTGCTCATAAGCTCTTGAATTTGCTTTCCGAGCTCTTTTGTTTCCTCGGGGTTCATTCGGTAAGCGGGTCTGTTGGGTAGGGGTGCTCCAGGAACAAGATCTATCTGATGCTCTATGCCTCGAATGGGCGGTAGTCCAGACGGAATCTCTTTGGGAAATACATCACTAAACTGTTCGAGAAGCTGAGTGATAACTGGACTAGAGTGAGGTGCCACTGCGCTAATACTCATAAGATCCTTGAAGACCATGAGTAGCACCATTCGATCTTGTCTAATAGCTTTACCAACTTGACTAGCCTTGAGATAGAAGTTTCCTTTCTTCGGCTCAGATTCTTTGGCTAGCTTAAGTTGCATCTCATGCACTTGAGATGGGCTAAGAGGTGCTAGCACAACTTTCTTTTTGTTGTGGACGAACGAGTATTGGTTGGCTCGACCATCATGTGTTATCTCTCGATCAAATTGCCAAGGGCGTCCTAGCAGCATATGTCCAGCTTGCATAGGAACAATGTCGCACAAGACCTCATCTTGATAACGCCCAATACTAAAAGGAATCTTAACTCGTTCGGAAACCTTGATCTCCCCTTGATTGTTAAGCCATTGCAGCTTATAGGGATGTGGGTGTTTCTCGGGTTGTAGTCCGAGCTTTTTAACCATATAAGCACTTGCAACATTGGTGCACGACCCACTGTCAATGATCAGCCCACAGATCTTTCCTTGGACAGTGCAACGGGTATGAAAAATTATCTCTCGTTGGGTCGTTTCTTCCGGGTTTACCATGGTGCTAAGAACTCGTCTTGTCACTAAGAGTTCTCCACTATCGGGGTACTCAACCTCTTCCTCGAGATCCCCCGCTTCTTCCTCATCCATGGACTCGTATTCCCCATTGTCCATTAGTATCATAACTCTAGAGTTCGGACAATCTCGAGCCATGTGTCCACGTCCTCGACACTTATAACATATAATTTCTCTAGCGCGAGTGTCACCTGGAACTTCTCCAAGTGGCCTTGGAGCTCGTGATTTTTCAGGGGATTTTCCTTTGTCCCGCTGATCACGTGGGTTCCTAACCTCTTGTATCTCACGCCTAGTTCCAGTCGAGGGTTTAGGAAGTGGTGTTGGGTTGCTAGTTTGGGATCTAAACTTACTTAGCCTTGTGTTTTTCCTTTGGGTTTGTTGTTCCACTTGTATGGCTAAGTGTAAAAGCTCTTGGAGGTCTCGGTATGGTTGTCGCTCAACCTTTCGAGCAACCCGTTCTTGGAGGCCATCCAAAAACTGGGCCATAACCGTCTCCTCATCCTCATCGAGCTCTAGACGGCTTCTAAGATGTTCAAACTCCTCAAAATATTCTTCCACCGTCCTAGTTCCTTGTGCAATCCTTCTGTACCTTCTTTGAAGGTCTCGGTGAAAGTGAGGCGGAACATAACGCTTACGCATGAGAGCTTTCATCTCACACCACGTCTCTATAGGCTCATAACGAGTTTGCCTCCTCTCGGTCACCTCACGATCCCACCATGTGAGGGCATTCTCCGCCAATTGAGCAGCTGCGTATTGGACCTTCCTTCGATCCGAATACGAATAGCACTCAAAGATGTTGTCCATTCGGCGCTCCCAATCTAGGTAGGCTTCGGGATCTACTTTTCCCATGAACAAGGGAGGTTTAAGTTTAAGATCAGCCCCTTGGCCTCGAATTTGGCGTTGATGGTTTTGTCCATAACCATCATCATCATCATCAATTTCATCCGGCAATCGATTAGGCCTATCTCTTGGCCGCGGATGAACTCGCCTTCTCAGTGGCTCCTCATATTCTGACAGTTCATCCTCACACCTGTTTCACGGCCTATTGCGAGGTTCTAGATCTTCATCCTTGATAACTCCTAATTCTCTCTATATTTTCAGGGCGTTTCTATAGGATTTTATATGAGGATCATATTCATTTATAGGCATTATAGGCGCGTTAGGCTACGAAACTCGGTTTAGTTGTGTTTTTATTGGATTGCAGGTCTTGGATGAGATTTGGACCAAGATGGAAGCAATCTGGAACTAAAAGGATTGAAATACATCAAGAGCTTCCTACCTTGACTCGGCCAAAGTCAACAACAGAAATTGGGCCGAGTCAACATGCTGAAAAGGGCCCAATTCAAGCCTGTTACGAGGAGACCGAGTCAGAACGTCCGAGTCAGTTTACCCCGAGTCAACATGCCCGAGTCAGAAGGCCCGAGTCAGAAGATTGGGCTGGGCCGAATTCATTATGTTTCGTTTTGACTCGGTCGAGTCAGAATACTGACTCGGTCCGAGTCAAAACACAGAAAAAAGCCCAGATCGAATTTTCAGAATTGGAACGGGAGTAGGACTTCGGGAGCGCCGCCTAGGGTTGATAAAAGGACTCTAGAGACATCCAAAAGAGAAGGACAGACTTTACACAGACTTTGGAGAGCTTTGGTGAGAGATATAGGAGTAAAA